TTTAAGGTTGCAACCTTATGTGAACATTTTCCTTTTAATAAACTCTAGTTTTGTATATTAATTTTAAGTAAAATAGTGCTTAGAGTATTGCAATGTGTTATGCTTGTGGTGCTTAATTTTTATGTTGCCAGCTCAATTTGTGTGATGAGTTTAGGTGTCAATATAAGTGGCTCTAGAGATACTTAGGAAAAGATAATAGTAAAAAATTTCTACTATAATTACATGTAAGAAGAACGTATGTAACTTCGTAACTTTATAATTTGATTGATAAGTTGATATTATAATTATAAATGAATAAATAATTGATTAAGATTGAAAATTGATATTCAATTACTAATAAACATTAAGTAAACTACTTCTTAGAAAAGTACATCGAGTGATTTTTATGGTGGTACTTTGTTGTGTTACTCGCACTTGTGTTATTATATTAAAAAATATTAATTTTAAGTAAACCACTGCTTCAGTGCTTCGGGGCAGTACAAAGTGCCATTTTATAGTGTCACTATGTTGTGCTACCTACTCAAGTTGTGTGAAATTCATTTTAAAGAAGGTAAGATGAATATAGAATTTATTTAAACTGGGCTTATTGTTTCATTATAGAGTTTAGAGGGATATCTGCATTGGATTGTTCAAAAAATTTTAACGGGAAGTTGTTTATTATGATCTTGCTAGATTATATTATAGGTATATTTTTAATTAATCTTGTAAGAGTGTAATGTGTCATTTTTATATTGACACTATGTTATGTTACCTGCCTAATATGTGTCAGATTTATTTTAAAGAAGTCAACTGAATGTACAATTTATTTAAAAGAAATATATTATCTCATTATATGTTTGAACAGGTCACGTGCATTATACATGACAATTTCGATATTTTTATGTTATGTGATACGCACACATATTAATAAATTTATACAATTATAATTTAGAATAAAGAGATTTTATAATGAATTATGCATTTCATTGTGGAACTATGTTGTGCTACCCATTCAAGCTATGTCAAATTCATTCTAGAAAAATATCATGAATGTAGAATTTATTTAGAACTAGTACAAAAAAATCATGATTTTAATCTTGTAATTCAAAAAATTTATTTTCTTCTTTAATAGCATTTTTTCATTCATATTTTTTTAATCTTGATATTAGAGTTATAAGTTCATGAATTGATACTTAAGATTAAAAGACTTGCCTAACAATTTGATAACCGAAATGTTCAAGTAAATAAATGAAAATGTGAGTAATCTCATGTACACTTTTTATAAAAGAATAACATTGTTATTTATAATAAGGGGTATCGAGATATCCTCTAAAATAAAATATTGGTAAACAAATTAATTTTTTTTTTACTATATAATTCAAATTTATTTCATTGTATGTTAGTTTTTTAAGAAATTACGACAATGGTAACATATTTTTTAAATTGATAAAAGGCTATGTTCTCATTTAGTATTTAAATAGTAGTACTTTTGAAAAAAACTAAATTGTTAGATTGTAGGACACGTGGGACAATATATGCATGTAATAAAAAATGTTGTATATATGCTCCTGCGGAGCAATTTGTAGGGTTAATCCCTCAAGATAAGGACCTACTAAGCCTTATATTTATATATATATATATAAATAAAGTCTAGCCATCCTCTCCTTCTTTAAGAATGTATTCAAGAAATAAAAGGGAAAATTTAAATTTTTAAATATATAAAATATGATATTTGTTTGAAGTTTTTTTTGTAATTTCCCCAACTTCTATCCAAACCTTTTTTTGAAATCCACGTAGTATACATATAGAGATATGGTGCATCCGAAAGCTAATATGGTACTCTTTATTGGTCCTCCTAACTAAATCTCAAGCTTGAGATAAATTTCTTGCGACATGTGGTCACAAACATCCGCACGTACGTTTTTATTGGTCTTCCGAACCAAAGTCCGAGCGTGAGATAAATTTCTTGCTTGTGGTCATAAACCTCCTCATCTATGTTTTATATATAAAAGTTGCACACTACATAATACCCTATTGGGTAGATCGAAAAGGATGAGTAGCAGTGGCTATGAACTTTCGGTTTCAAGAGATTTTGCACAACTTATGTCAAACTATGAGTACAACAAGGGGTTGGTTCTCTTGGTCTAACAATCAGCTTACTAGGAGATGTGTTAGAAGAAGATTGGATCGTGCTATGACGACTACAGATTGGTGTTGGCGTATCCAAAGTCCAAAGTAGAGCTGCTTCAAAAGGAGGATTTTGACCACTGCGCGCTGCTGGTATCCATGTCAGATTTGGGTCCAATTGGGCCAAAACCCTTTAAATACTTCTAGACTTGGGAAAAATCTCATGGTATTATTGATATAATTTCAGCACCTTAGCAAGGTAGAGTGGGGGGTACACCTATGTTCTGCTTTGTTACAAAGCTGAAAAGACTTAGGGGAGATTTGCGTGCTTGGAATAAAGAAGTATTTGGTCATATAAATTATTCTATTTCGGAAGTTCGGCAAAAGTTATATAATCTACATGAGAGTCTGTGCCTTGACCCTTCCAATGAAAATTTAATGTTAGAAGAGAAGGAATGTACCCTTCTAATGAAAATCTAATGTTAGAAGAGAAGGAGTGTACTGAAAAATTGCAACAGCTATTGGGCCATGAAGAGTGTATATAGAGGCAAAAGTCGACGAAAAAAAAGTTGAAGGATGGGGATTCCAATATAAGGTTCTTCCATCTGTCTACTGTAATTAGGAGAATGATTGATCGTATTATCTACCTTAAATATTAGAATAGAATTTATTTGGCTTTTAAAACAGATATTGACAATCACATGATAGGCTTTTTCAAATATCTTATAGCCTAAGAAAATGATGTTGATACTAATATGGCCGAACAATTTTTGTCACCATCTCTACTTAGCACTCATCACAGGAGAAGTTGATTGAGTATGTTTCTTGGGGTGTGACATAACCCGTTCAATGTTCAAAATAAGAGTATATAAATGTTCAAAATTTGTTGAGCACAAATATAAATTACGCTATAGTATGACCACCCTAATATAACCCATTATAATTTTAATACTTGTTTGAACATTTATACGTGCGAAACTCAAAAAAAATGAGTCATATATATTGAAGTTGGAAAGTTGAACCCAAGTAGTTAAAAAGGAGGTTTAATCTATCCCTTCTTTGGCTACTCCATCATCGTCGTCAATGTCATCGAGTGGTTTCTACTTGCATAAGATATAAGGAACCTCTAATCTTAGGATGCAGATCCTGTTTCTTGACTTGAAAGTAGCTGCACCAAAACCATAATATCAGTACACAAATCCCAAAGTGGTTTTAATTTAGAGTATGGAAACTTGAGATCTACTTCACCGATGAAAGGTATATAACAAATTTTGGAACATAGAATTGCCTGACTCATCCTTGGCAAAACCAAATAAAGCAACCTTGTTTATCTTGCCCTCCTAACTGACTTTACGAACTAATTATAAATATCGTATTTTATAGCTAAACTATTATTCAAAAAAAGGACATTGAGAATAATCAAGATTTTTTTTTACTAAAAGTGACTACTGTCCAAAATCGCCGTATAAAAAGGTTCTATTCAAGAAACTAGCCTTTTGCACTTCAAAGAGGCACCATCTTAATATTGCTTTCTAAGACGGCACTTCTCTTTTTCTAGAGGCCTTGTCTTTCTATGCAAAAGATCTTTGGCTCTCTTTCTCTAGAGGAACCCCCCTTCCCCATATGGTGACTCCAAATAGGGTGCAAGTACTCTGATCTCTCTAACTCCGTAGACATTTACGTAAACTTCCAATAGATGTCATATATATAATAAAACCTATGCAATACAACAAATAATCCTAATCTAATTGGTGATTAGGATATTAACCTAATTGTGGGGGAATTTCTACGAGATGGTGATTTCCGTAATCAACCTATGCAACAGACTGATAGGCTGAAGCAAGTAGTTAAACTTCCTTTGACCACTACATGTGCTAGTTTTCCTAGGACAAATTTCAAAATATTTTCTAAACAAGATGCCCAAATATCTCGACCATAGAAACTTTGCTTTAGCTATTTTTTTGATAGTGCCCATGCTTCCCCGGTTCAAAAGTCTAACATTCGGATTGCCCAAAACACAAAAAATACTAAGTTGATAGATGATTCCAAAATGTAACTTTTGAACTATATCCAAAGTATAGATAGTTTAAGTATTTGACAATTTGGAAGGGAAAAATATATATTGGAATCATTTACTTTTGATACAAGCCCGTCACAATTAATCACGACTACTAGATGTAAAATTGAATGGTTGCATCCAATAACAAAGCTCAATTTTCAAATAAACTTTTTTCAAACTTTGTGACACACCTAGGCTATCAGATTTCACATCGGATGGTTATAAACGAATGTAACCTCAATATATAAAAGGTAAATAGTTTAATTTGAAAGTCCTACGTGCAAATCGCCCAATGCACAAAACATTTTGAATACAAAATAAAATAAAATAAACCTTGTAATGGCTCAAAACACAAACATATTAAGCATTTGTGCAGCACTCTGACCACATAGAACTACAGAATAACTAAAAAATAAAAAGAAATCAGAAGTGTTTGAGAGGTTTAAAAGTTGGTTTTTTTGTTTGTTTTGGGCAGTTTGATGTAGGGCTTTTGACGTGCCAAAACACATATTGTTATTGTTTTTTTGTTTTTGGGGAGTCAATAGGGAGAGGCCCCGCCTTTTGTAGGAATTAAGCTTAAAACGTAGCATTGCAAATTGTCAAGCGTCAACCAATTAAGCCCGGGCAAGTTACATTTTCAAGCCCGAAGTAAAATGGAAAAAGATAAAGAATTACCTAAAAATTTCGCTGAACATCCTAAGGATTAACTCATCAATCCAGATGGCCTCATCGACCCAAGAGCAATATCCCAAACAACATAAACATGTATGATATATACACACACATTGAATCAATAAGCATGAAAGTGCCACAACAGATACTGATGAAGGGAACATGAAGCAATCACCAGCATTTTATTGAACATTCTCACATTGAAATCTGATACAAACTGCTGCAATGATTAAAACCAAAACATCAAATACAACGACTGACCAGATGATTATTTTGAGTCTTGATGAAAGAATGGCATTCATGTACATCTGCTGAAGAAATTGATGCTTTGAAAATTAAAAAGAAAAAGAAAAAACAGAAAAAGAACATGTAAGAGTTACATGAATGAATAAGAAAGCGAAGTTGATGACAGCTAAATCTCAGACCACCATGGTTGTGGGCATCATCATTTCTCTGTCTTTTTTATCTTTCCTCAATCCTCCTTCTTTTTAGACTTGAAAACCGTAAAAAAGAAATTGATGATACTTGTCAAAAAAAAGAAAAAACAGAAAAAGAAAAAGAAAATTGATGATTCAAAGAAGTAAGAACAATCGAATAACTAGAGAGAGAGATAGATTGGTTTAGAGAGAGAGAGAGTAGCAAAGAAAAGGAACAAACAAAAGAAACAAGAAAATGGAATACAGGAGTTTTATGCAGACATACCAACATCTTCTTGAAGCCATCGTTGATCTTCTGAAACAGGCCCTTCTTCTTCTTCACCCCTTTCCCCTTCTCTCCAAGCTCTCTCTCTCCTCCACTTTCTCTCTCATCCTCTCCCACTTCTTCCAAACGCCAGATCATCCCCTCTTTCATCGCAAGAATTAAGGCATCTGCATGGCTCTTCCGACAAACCCCATATGCACCAAACGCCTCACCATAGGTATTGACACTCTTTATCGCAAATTTCGAAGGTTAGTTTTCATCATACACAACTGTCTCGAACTTACCATCCGTCGTGGTTCTTACGCCCACACAATCGGAATCCTCGGGCAATTGTATCCATATCAACTCCTTCTTTCCCCGGCTGCTACTGCCTGCTTCACCATCCATTCTCTCTCTTTCGCGATCCATGTACTTCTCTGTCGCTTTCCCTCTCTAGAATTTCAAAGAAGAGCAATCCTCAAGTACCCCAAAATTTTGTTGCGGTGAGAGATTTACCAGATGGGGTGTGCTTTCACTCTCTAAAATCAGCGGAGGAAATCCAGAAGCTGAATTGTATTGTGATGGCTCAGTAATCGGGTTTCTTTGGTTTGGGTGAACTAATAACCGGAGGGTTAGAGATCTCCAAGAAAGGACGATCCAAACGAACTCCCAGAATCCTCCAGCAAAGAACCTCAAATGATGAATCTACTCTGATTCGGTTCTTTATGCCAAGATTGCAACTCTCTTTCACTTTCTCTCTCTATGTATTTCAACAGAGAGAGACCCAAATGTGGGAGAGCTCTGCAATTTTTTTCCTTCCCCAAGAATGCTACTCTCTCTCTCTGTAATTTACAGCAGAAGGGGATCGAAATGTGGGAATTATGTGTTTCGGTTGTCCGTGGAAAGGAAATTACTCTTTCTGTATCTCTGTGGCAAGGAAGATAACTCTCCCTCTCCCCCTGGAGTGACAGTAGAGAGAGAAATGAAGAGACTCTAATTCGATTATTCTTGGAAGGAGAAACTTCTCTCCCTAAAATAAAAAATGGGGGTCTATCATTTTCTCTCTCTACACTCTTCTAAGCTCTGCAACACACTTCCTTTGCTTATTTCAAGGGTTGTGATCAAAAGAAAAGAGCGGGATTATTTGAACTTCTCTTCTCCGTTATAGGGTTAGCATAGAGCCAACCCGCACATTGTAGAAATGCGGGCTTGCTAATAAAAATAATTTTTTTAAATATAATTTGATTCTTGGTTGGATGAGCCTTACCAAAATAAGTAAAGCTTCACCCCATAATTCATTAAAAATTTCAGTCCACCGATTTGGATCTATTTTTAAAATGGATTCTTTATACCTTTGAACTGCATAATATAGAAACGCAGTCCAGCCGGTCATAATATAGAAATGCAGTCCAGCCGGCTTGAAACAATTGTTGTAATGTATATATATATATGTATTGCCACCAGCTTCCAATTCTATTTTCACGATTTCACCATTGACCAAAAAAAATCAGATTTGAGTAGACACCTCGGACGAGCAAAAGATTTAGGGCGGTGTTTGTATGGTAAAATTTTTCGAAAGTGTAAAATCCAAGATCCACCAAATTGCAACCCCTCACTTCTTATTCCCATTGGGGAAATCCAAGATCCACCAAATTACACGCCAACATTTAGTGGTCAAATTTAGTACTCGTGGCTTCCAATAGCTTCCATAAACAACGTAGAAAAAATGTTGGATATGAAAGCTACACCTTCCATATGCGTATTTGTGGAAAAAGGGGCTTCAACAATCAAACATGCCCTAAAGACTCCACCTCCATTTTAATAACACCCAACTAAGAAGTATTGTCAGGACCGGTGTTTAAAAAAACGTCGAGTCGAACCGGACTCGTCCGGTTCGACTCGGGAATCATCATGGACGGATCGAATCGACGAAAAAAACGGGAATCGTCCGGTTCTAGAGAGAACCGGACGATTCTGTACAGTGACTTGCCGATCTACTGTACGGAATCGGCGAGTCCATATATTGAATCGGCGAGTCCCCGTACGGTTTTTTTTTTTTGTAATCCATGATTGATTTTTTTGTAATACTTGATCGATTTTTTTGTAATCCATGATCGAATTGTTTTTTTTTTTTGTAATCCATGATCGAATTTTTTGTTTTTTTT